TATTTTTTTTTCTTTTTTAATTTTGTATATGTGCTTGATGCTTATTTATTTATTTATTTTCATATTAAGTTTTGTGTCTAGTAGTTTTACTTGGCTTTTTTTTTGTTTCATAAATATATTTATGCATTAAAACTAATTGTTTTCTTTTATTATTTTTTCTTATAATGATTTTTTTTATTAAAGGAGTGTACATAGAATCGGTAAACTTAACTATTAATGGGGTATATAAAGTATAAGATATGTTTAATTATTAATGGGGTGAAAATAGAGATTTATGGGGTGAAAATAACCCTCATCCATAATTTTTAGAGAAATGTTATATTGCCTAAATAAAAAAGAACCAAATTACCGTTTAAATTTCTAGACAGTATGATAATTCCTAATATCACAATATTACCGTTTAAATTTCTATTGTAGAAGATGGAAGAGCCGAAAACTCAAAACAACCAATGTAGATGTTGTAGCACCTGGAAAATCATCGAATAGTATTTCAAATACATCAACATTACCAGCATTTTTTTTATTTTTAAATGTAATTAGTGTCTACTTTAGTTTGCAAGATTAGACACGCCAACCAAGAAATTTAGGACCTAATCAAAACGTATTAATTATAGCAATATCCAGCTGTTATCGCGCTACCAAATTCAAAAATGGTTGTCCAGAATTAGAAAAATAATAATAATAATAATATATTTTACTTTTTTTAAAAGGTAAGTAATTCAAAAGGTTTAGATTCAGAAGGTTTTCAAATTGACCGTTCTTTTTCTATCCGTTAGATTCTCTAACCCATTAATCCATGTGGCCGCCACCACCAGTTCCAAATACCAGATTCAAAATTCAAATTGTATCATAACCATTTATAACCTAGATTCCCTCACCCACCAACCCTCATCGTCATTATTGAAACGCTCGCTTTCTCTCCAAAACTCCAACCCCTCTTTTTCTATATCATCCATCAAACAAACCCTCCCCCCCTCCTCTCTCTCTCTCTCTCTCTCTCTCTCTCTAGACCAAAATGCGTGAGATTCTTCATATTCAGGGTGGCCAATGTGGCAACCAAATAGGTGCGAAGTTCTGGGAGGTGGTATGTGCCGAGCACCGTATAGATGCCACCGGAAGGTACCAGGGAGACTCAGATCTTGAACTTGAAAGGGTCAATGTCTACTACAACGAGGCCAGCGGTGGTCGGTTCGTCCCTCGAGCTGTGCTCATGGATTTGGAGCCTGGAACCATGGATAGCATCAGATCTGGGCCTTATGGTCAGATTTTTCGCCCAGATAACTTTGTTTTCGGTCAGTCTGGGGCTGGAAATAATTGGGCAAAAGGGCATTACACTGAAGGTGCTGAGTTGATTGATTCTGTTCTTGATGTCGTGCGAAAAGAGGCTGAGAATTGTGACTGCTTGCAAGGTATTTGATAAAAAGCATATAAACGGTCATTACACACTCCCTTTAACCATTCTGTACTCAAAACCTAAATGTTGACATATTTACTCATTTGATTGTTTGATTTGCAGGGTTTCAGGTGTGCCATTCTTTGGGAGGTGGGACTGGGTCTGGAATGGGGACTCTTCTGATTTCGAAGATTAGGGAAGAGTACCCAGATAGAATGATGATGACTTTTTCGGTCTTCCCTTCTCCTAAGGTTTCGGATACGGTCGTGGAGCCTTATAATGCGACTCTGTCTGTTCATCAGCTTGTGGAAAATGCAGACGAGTGCATGGTTCTTGACAATGAGGCGCTGTATGACATTTGCTTCCGAACGCTCAAGCTCACCACTCCAAGTTGTAAGTTTTCTTGAATTTTCGAGGCATTTATTGGTTAATATAAACACCGTCTTGGATCAGAAAGGTTTTTCTCACTAATTTGTGTATATGATTTGATTGGTCATATCATGGCCGAGTCTTGCTTATTTGTTTAGGTTGATGCCCGACGAAATATTGGGTCTAATCTGGGTTTATTTTAAAAAATGAGACTAATTTACTTGAAAGCGTTTGGGGCATACCTTATGGTAGCTGTTCTGTGTCATTTTTCGTGTGTAATATTTAAGAAGAATGTTTTTAGAGATGCTTAACTGTAGCGTGATGGTTGTAAAGTTTTTGGGGAAAAAACCAATGTTTCGTTCAAATTTTNTAGAGATGCTTAACTGTAGCGTGATGGTTGTAAAGTTTTTGGGGAAAAAACCAATGTTTCGTTCATATGTTTATTAATTCTAGGGTATTGTTATTGTCAGGAAAGGTTTTGCTGCTTTTGGAGAAATTCAACAAAATTGGGTAGTACGTTGAATTTCTTAGGAAGAAACGAAATATTTTTCTTCAGAAAAAAAAAGTTAAGCGTCTCATGGCACTAAGGTGACCATGTTTTTCTTTGAATTTCAATGAGGTTCTTCATGTCACCTTTTCACTGCTATGAATGGATTCGTTGTCACAAAATGGAAAGCAAATGTGAGAGTTTGCTGTGTGCTTCACGATGATCAACCTGTGAGTTTAGTAGTTTAGGTGTTTAACAACGTTCTATAGATTTTGCAATCATGATTTGTCCATAATTATATAAGAATGAATTTAGTTATAATGCTATACCCTATGTGAGATCAGCTTGACAAATAATATTCTTTCTGGGGTTGATTTTTCTACTGAAGAAATTTTATAGATGATGAGTAATTTGGGGAACTTTTCAAATACATCAGAGGGCGATGGTCATTTTGTTTTGAAATGAAAGAGAAAAGTGTTGTGTCACATCAATCTCCATGTAGGAAATCCAACTGGACTGAGGTGGCTCATCTCTTTTTTTCTCTAATTTCAAAATGCTTAGTTAGGTTGGCCAAATTTTTGATATCAACTTTTGTTTACTTAATGTTGTGGCACACTCACAACAAACAAGTAAAACCCAAAAATGTTTGATGATTCAGAAAAATGTTTGCTGTAAATGTTTGGTAAGAGTAGTATTAAGGAAGTTCAAAACCAAATGATAAGTTTTGTTGCACCAAAATGTACTTTGTTGGAGTATTAGCATGTGAGTTACTTCTTTTTCATTGGAGATTTTTCTGGTGGCGAGTTCCTTGGTGTTTTTAGCAGCACTGATTATAGTTTTCCCCGTCTTAACAGTTGGAGATCTGAATCATCTGATATCTGCTACCATGTCTGGGGTTACATGTTGCCTAAGATTTCCAGGCCAGCTTAACTCTGATCTCCGCAAGCTTGCTGTGAACCTCATTCCATTTCCTCGTCTTCACTTTTTCATGGTGGGTTTTGCTCCTCTTACCTCACGTGGATCTCAGCAATACCGGGCATTGACAGTTCCTGAACTCACCCAGCAAATGTGGGACTCAAAGAACATGATGTGTGCTGCTGATCCTCGTCATGGCCGTTATTTGACAGCATCAGCTATGTTCCGGGGAAAGATGAGCACCAAGGAAGTGGATGAGCAGATGCTAAATGTACAGAACAAGAACTCTTCCTACTTTGTTGAGTGGATTCCCAATAATGTCAAGTCAACGGTGTGTGATATTCCACCAACCGGGCTAAAGATGGCTTCAACATTCATTGGCAACTCAACATCGATACAGGAAATGTTCAGGCGTGTGAGTGAACAATTCACAGCCATGTTTAGAAGGAAGGCTTTCTTGCACTGGTACACAGGAGAAGGAATGGATGAGATGGAGTTCACTGAGGCTGAGAGCAACATGAACGATCTGGTATCAGAATATCAGCAGTATCAAGATGCAACAGCTGACGAGGAAGGCGAATATGAGGATGAAGAGGAAGAATATCAGCAGTGATGCTGATGATGGTAACTGGGGAAGGAAGAGTTGCTTTAACTGTGGTTGTAACCTCAACTACCAGTTTTCCAGATTGTAGGGGGAAACATTTGCACTATGCAGAACCATAAAACTTATTAGTTTTCCTTAATTGCAATTTCTTATATGATTTGTGTGTGTTTTTCCAAAATCTTTGCGTGGCATTGCAATGCTAGTAGCTTCATATACCCTTAGNAGAAGAAAAACCTATTCGAGGTGGCTCAGTTTCTACCCAATTGGGGCATCGGATACCACATGGCCAAGACTCACTGGATCGGCGTATCCTATCAGATCACCAAGATTAATCTCTATAAGGTCTTTCCTAGTCGTTCATCTATATATCAATTCGTGTTGGGTTCTTTTTTATTCGGTTTGTATTAAGGTCGTTTTTAGGGTTTAATGAGTTTTTTGGAGGGTTTTTGCAGGATGGTAGACACGGGAAGGCTTGGGGACTTGTTCATAAGGAAGNAGCAATGGTCCTACTCTAGTGATTATACAGCAAACACAAGTCTCTTTGTATAACTCTAACATGCCAGGTCTACATTGCAACCTTGTAACTTCTAAGTCATTTGACATTATTACACTTCGAGACTCTAAGAAGATGGTAAGGCTATGATATTATCAACTATGCTATTAAAATCCGTATTCACAAATATTGATTGAACAAATAATAAAATAATTAAAAAAAACTTTAAACGTGAGAGGGACATAAAATATATTTGAATTTGACCTTAAAGAGCATATGTGTATCTCTCTAGGCCTTTTTAGTGGTACTGGATGCCCAAAAAAGAATATTACAATTATGTGCAAAATATTTCTCAATTAAAAAAAATTATTTTTGAATATGTAATTTTTCCAATTTTTAAGGGGACTGATATGGAATTAGCAAAAATATCATTAAAAACCATCATTTTCAATTCAAAATTATATATTTCCCATTTAGCCGTTTCATTTCACCTCTTTCTCTCTCTTAATTTCGGTATAGATTAACTGTTTTTAATCGAATTAAAAAAAAAAAATTGAAGTAGATATATATTAACTTAGATACCCGAAACCGTTAAAAAATAAAAATAAACTAAAAAAATAAAAATATTAAACAATATAAGAAAAAATGAAAATTGGAGAAAAAGAATGTAATCACAGCAGCACTCGGTACATTTAGGAAGCCGAAAGAAGAGAGGGAGAGAGAAGGAGATTATCTGAAAATGGCGAGCAGTCTCGCAAACAGAGCAGCTTCAATGGAGAGAACGGCTAGCTTCTTTCGGCTCTCCTTCAGATTTCTTAGAAATTTCAGCGATTCCACCACTACTCCTGCAACTTCGCCGGCGGTTGGGGAAGCCAAGAAGCCCAAGAGGAAGAAGAAGAAAAACCTATTCGAGGTGGCTCAGTTTCTACCCAATTGGGGCATCGGATACTTCATGGCCAAGACTCACTGGATCGGCGTATCCTATCAGATCACCAAGATTAATCTCTATAAGGTCTTTCCTAGTCCTTCATCTATATATCAATTCGTGTTGGGTTCTTTTTTATTCGGTTTGTATTAAGGTCGATTTTAGGGTTTAATGAGTTTTTTGGAGCGGTTTTGCAGGATGGTAGACACGGGAAGGCTTGGGGACTTGTTCATAAGGATGGTGAGTTTTCACATTCTCTCTTGTGGCTTTGGTGTTTCTGAAATGTTGTTTAATCCTATGTTTGGTTGCTGCTAAAATGCATTAGTTGTTAGAACGGTTATGTAATTGTCCTCAAAGAAAAGGTTTTTGGTTTTCTTATGGCTCAAACAGAATTGTTCAAGCGTGAAAAATTGATTGTGATTCTTTTCTTACATTTTCTCAGCAGTCGAGGTTTAGGGTTTTTCATTCTCTTTTGTGCTTAGTGTAACTGATATTATAGGATGTATGACAAACAGATTCGGAAAGAATATTACTAATAAGTTATAAACTAGCTAGGTTTATAAATGTGGGATATTTGGAGATATGTATATAGTTATTGGCGCAAAATATGCTTTTGTAAATCTACATAAGTGGCAAGAGAGTTCCAGAAGTCCGCAGATCATGTAATTTTTTTAACTGACTCTGCATAGATATTTTAGCTCCCATTGACGACTGTCTTGGTGACCAAGAACGTCCTGGTGGGTGAACTACCTACGTTCGGTTCTCCCGCAATCAGTTGTATTAATGGGGTCAAATGAATAGGAAAAATCTGGCCGCACTCAAATTTTTCTTAGCTCCTACAAAGAAGTCCTACTTAGAACAAATATGTAAGCTTCATATCACATGCATTGTTAGCATATTTCTATTTGTTTCTTTCTTTTTTGCTCTTTCCCCCCTTAAAATCCTTTTATACCCATCAATAATCAGACAAGAATCCTCCTTCTGGTAAGAGTCCCACATATGAAGGTTATGCTTGTCATGGGCATATGGAGCACATTGCATGAACTCTTCAAATCTTTCATCTATTCAAGACGTAAGATTTGAACTCTTCAACTAGTTCATCTGTCCACTAAATAAGATTGGAAGTTTGAACTCTTCAAAATTTTCATCTATACACGAAATAAGATATGATAAAATGTCGGTTGTGGATGAGTTGAGTAAATATCTACGTCACTCTTTCAAACCCAAATTGGAACTTGTGGTGCTAAAATGCACTGAAGAGTAAGTTTTTAGGTCTTTTGCCACAAAAAATATTAATTATTATTTTTATTTAACTATTTTGTTGATTTGACTTTCAAGTCAGCCACTGTTCACTTGTACAAGG